CCCTGAACACAAGACCAAGTTGCGACAACGAGGTCAACCCACTTCTATAAGTCGAAAGGAGACTGCGACAGGAATGAGACCGAGCCCTGATGATGTCCATTATATGATGGACGAAAGCTCAGCTTGTTTTTACCCGAAACGAGGGAGGAGGTCTCGTGGACTCCGTCAACCTGAACGTCGTATAAAGGCCAAACGGCTGCAATACAACGGGATTCATCCGTCTTCTTCTCGTGAGATCGACCTACGAATCTCTTCTTCATGCACTTTCATACAAAGTGAAAGTCCCCCCAACAACCTTTTTTCTTCGCTTAGCATATTAATGAGCTTTGATGACGGGTATCACAAATAGGTGAAAACTAACCACGGGTTCGGGGAATTCTTTTCAGTCGAACATTCTTCACTCTTGTGCATTCCTCTTCTGGTTTACAGTGGGACCAATTCAAATATTCCTCACCAATTTTCTTTAAAAATGAAAAGTCGAATTAAATTTGAAGAGCTATTTTGTTTATGTATTTAAATTCACCACGTCATGCATGGCGATTTTTCATTTAGGATAATCTATATTTACTAGTACCTATCAAGTTCAACGGCAAATGCACAATTGACGATCAACACAAAGGCCTTGACGAAAGGTGAGGGAGGTCCGGTTCAGACTGGAGGAGAACAGCCTTCTGGGATAAGAATGATAGTCACCCTAGGATGTTTAAGGTGGTGGGGTGCTTTCCCTTCAATTTGCCTCAGATTCACCCTCGATCCTTGTAGCACCAAGTGCTGTATATTCTCAATTCGTGATGCGACTATCAGCAGTTATCAAAGAAGGATTTTAGTCATCCTTGTTTGCTTATTATGATTATGGATTAATGGTTAATTTTCCCACAATGCTATGAGTAGGCCTCACGATAATACTGAATTTCACTTAGCTTTGCTATTTAATGGGTATTCTAATCCAGGTTAGACGGAGGTTCCGATTTCCCCTGGATTTCATCACTACCCAAACTCGTTTAGCGCAATCTTTCCTTCCAACATGTTACCGCCAAGCTATACTACCACGGATGCCAGTGGATCCTAGGACAGACGACTTTCAACGCAAGACACTTCTCTTCTATATCACATTTTCATAGTTAGATTGTTGATGAAGCAAGTACGTATTTGCATTACAGTCGAATGCATTGCTCGCATTCATAGTAGGCTCCCGTGATTATCAATAGATCTTACATAAAAACTTTAGTCACTCTATGTCGCTTATTCGATTCCCTTTGAAGGTGCTGATGATATATA